CAGACTTTTAAGTTTATCGGTAATTTTTAATTCGACACTTGAATTATAATATTTTTGATTGAGAACTTGAATGTATGATAATCTACTTCTATAGATATTTTTGCCTCAAATTTTTAGAAACAATTACTGACAATAGATTTTTTGTTGTTGCATTAGTAATGGGGCGGGTTTATTGATTGGTGTGATTTAATTAGTAATGTGAGTAGTAGATTGATTTATAAATTATATCAATAAGTTAAATTATAACAAATAGTTGAGAGTCATGTAATTAGAAAAATATTTAAATAGTTTAAATTTAAAATCATTAATTTTAAAATCGAAGGTGGATGAGAATGATATTTTGGAGCCAATAGGTGGATTAATGGTAGTTTTGTACCATTTCTGATACTTTACGGGTACTTAGGCTCTTTTCCGTTTTAAAAAAAAGACCCTTAACTTGAGCGGACAAATATGACTATGAAGATTAGGTATGCACAAGTAGACACTTAAACTTACATGAAATTGAACAAATTGATACATTCTTCTGACATGACACCCTACATGACAATTTTGTGTCCTACATTGCATTCATCGTTTGGTAGGGAGTATTAGGAAAAATATTCCATGTATTATGTATGTACCATTTAGGGGTCGTTTCGTACAAAGATGCATAATGCAGGGATTACTAATGCATGGATTAGTAATGCATGGATTAGTAATGCGGGGTTTAGTAATGCAGGGATTATTTTTTAGCAAGTGTTTAATTCATTATTTCCTACCTAGTCTTATGTTTGGTTTAAAACTTTAGAAAAAGTTTATTTCCTATTATACCATTTAGTTATTGTGAGATTATGTTTCATTTAACTAGTCAAGTTAAATATTAAAAAAAATATATAAAAATATTATTAATTTTGAGGTGTGATATGTCACATGGTATATTTCTAATTTTTTGTTGGTCAAATTTACTTTGAACTTAACATGAATTTAAGGCTACTTAAATTGTTCAAATACACTTAGCTTATTCTAAAAATTAAAAAAAATAGTTTACGTGGTCAATTGATGAACTACATTTAAAAACAAAAAATCAACCCAATATAACAACTCAAACATGGAGAAAAAAATATTAGTTTGTGAAATCATCAAATTACATGGAAAAAATTTGGAGAATTAAATGAACAATTATAAATATTTTCATATAAATAAAAAAAGAACATGAATTACAAAAAAAATAGGAAAAAAGATTTGGGGATAATTTAGTCATTAGGGGTCTTATCCAAGGATTGCTAAACCTTGTATTAGCTATCCCTCCCTTTCCTAGGGATAAAATAAGACCATGTATGAGGTATTAGTAATCCATGGATTAGGTTAAATAAAGTAACCAAACAATGTTTTTGTTTGGACTATATTTTAATCCATGGATTATTTTGATTAATACTTCCTACCAAACGGGTCCTTAGTACTATGTTTGATAGGTTTTTTCGTCCATGTATAACTAATTCATGGAGTAGTTATACAATATACATGGTGTTATTTAATGTATTATTAGTAACTCCCATTTGGTGGTATTAGTAATGCATATGTTTTAATACCATGAGGTTATCTATGTGAAGACAAAAATATCCCTCAAATTCTTTTAATCATTTTATTTTTTTTCTTGATTTTATATTTTATATTTTATATTTATATTAGTAGATTTATTCAAATAGTTTAGCTTACAAAATTTATTGTTTTAAAAGAGTTGTTTGTTGCTCAAAAGACTATTCAACTTTGAGAATTTATCAAATAAAGTCACATTAAACTTTTTTTTTTGTATGATACACTCGCTCAATTTAGATATTTTTATCAATAAATCACTCAATTAAATTTAACTTCAAATATAGGATAATAAAGGGAAAAAATTATTTTGTATCTAATAAAATTAGGTATCCAACGAAGAAATTAATTATTTAGATTAAAAAGGACTCAAATGTTAAAGTGGAATTTCTAATTAATTCAGAATTCCATCTATATTTTTTTATAACTAGGGTCGTAAATAGTATAAGCTGAGAAATAAAATAATGAAAATTGTTTATAACACACTATAACGTATATCATAAAAGGAACCAAAACAGAAAACATCCTCAGTGTTTCTGATTTTCTTTCGAACGAATATGTAATTATAGCAACACGTCATTTATAAAAAGAAAAAAAAAACAAAGTAATAACCTTATTTAATTACAAAGCAATTGAATTTTGATAATTTGAGCTCTAAAAATTTAAAAATAAGACTCTTGATTATAAAAATAATATTAGACAATAGTTATCAATCGGTTCAATTAAATAAAATAGAAAATTCTATAAAATTCAAGGGTATAATTAGTAAGAAACTCTTGAAAAAGTTTTAATCCAAAACCAAAATTAGGTGGAAAGCAATGAATAAAATACTTGATAAAAATAAGGACAATTTTCACATATAGCAAATAAGAAAGTTCATATTTGTATGTTATAGCAAAATTTGCATAATTGTGCTTCATAGCAAACATAGAAACTGTATAATTCGCTATACATATACAGTTGAAGCAAATTGTATAAAATGAAGTGTATAAAACAAGAAAGAGAAAGACACTTGGGCAGAGAACTGTATAAAAACGAAGTGTATAAACGAATTATATTATTATAAGTGCATAGAACGATTATATACAATTTAAATTTGTATAAAATGAGAAAGAGAGAAAGACAAAAGAGACTTGACAAGGAATATACAATTAAATCGAATTGTATAAAATGAGAAAGCGAAATTGGATACAATTTGAAAATTGTATAAAACGAGAAAGAGAGAAAGTCAAAAGAAACTGGGCAGGGGAGTATTTTTATTGTATAATTATAAGTGTATATGACGAAAATATATGTACTTGCATGTGTATATACAATTTTCTCACGCTTTATACAAAAAAAAACGCAATTCATACATTTCGCTTCTGTTTGTATAAGTGAGAAAGACAAGGGTGGAGAGCGAGGTTCGGGAGAGTGACGAGCGAGATCTGGAAGAGGGGAGAGAGGGGAACAAAAATATATGTATTTATACAATTTTCTCTGCTTTATACAATTACATACAATTTTTATACACTTGTGTTTGTATAAAAAGTAAGGAAGCGAGAGAGAGAGATTGAAGAAGAGTGACGAGCGAGATATTTGGGAGAGAGGCACCTGACAATTTCTTGCAAACATTTGCTATGAAGCACAATTAAATCAAACTCTAGCTACTCCATTTATTTTAGGTTATTAATTTGCTATTATATACAATTTTCCCTAAAAATAAATCCTACATTATTATTGCCTACATCACTAATTTCCGCAATACTAATTCCTGCGTTATAATACTTTGTACCGAATGATCCCTAAGTGTATTATGTCATGTTGGATACGTGTGTCTACTTATGTACATTCAAAATTGAAATGCATAATTATTCGAAACAAAGCCAAATTAAAAATTATATTTATGTATTATGTCAAAAACGAAAAAGAAAAACTCACACTGACTGGATCAATATAGGACAACTCAAAGTCTGACCAACTAACTGGATAGAAACTTCTTAAATTTCTATTGAAAAATATTACAATAAATTGTATGATATGGATACTCACCAACTAAAAGTATACATTAATATCCAAGATTCTTTCCTATGTACCAAATACACCTAACAAAGCAAAGTGTACATCCTTCTACCATCCACAATAAATAAATATATATATATATATGTGTGTCTGGATAAATTTGTTTCACCCCTTTTTAATATATGGTCAAACAAAATCATACAAGCCTTTACTTCATTAAATTGATAGATCAACGCAAGACTTAATTAAATTCATACAATATATATGTATAGTTTGTTTTCCCCTCAAATTGATTCATTGACTCTTAAGTCATCTTTGGTCATTGAAGTTCCAATTTGGTTGGACCGTTGTGCATTTTAGAACTAGCTACAATATAGTCTATTATACATACTTGACTTAACTCTCTTGCATCATCAATAGATATAATAATTCATTGATATCAATCCACCTTAACTAGAGTTTCCGAGATCTAACCAACTAGAGTTTCTGAGTTCGAACCATGGAGCGAAGAAATTTTTGATAATGGGAATTGATATTTGATCATATTTGGTACAAATCTGAATTATTCAAATGGAGATCATTAATTAGAATTTTTGCTTTCAAATCAGTGTTGAATGTAGAAATTTTGGCAGGGAAGATAATGAATCTTATATTAGGCAAATTCGATTAGTTGGATAAAAAATTTCAAATATCAAATGTTTATTTTTTTTAAAAAGAAAAGATAATAATTAATCTCACCTAATAATATTAAGTGTATTGTATGAATACCAACATGAGTTGTGGTGCACTGGTGGAATTGTTACACCTTTAATCAAAGATTTCAAGTTCGAGTCCTTGATATGGAGAAAATCTCGTTAAAAGCGCCACCCTGACTGGACCTGAACTTGTTGCCCACTTTCCTCCGTATACAAGGCTGGGAATTCATGTGACACCTTCCTAATGGCAAGGACTTTTAGAAGGTAGCTAGTGGTTCACTCGAATCCTCTTAGTTACATTTTTATTTTATAAATATATAAATTAAAACTCCTTAACTTAAAGACTAAAGGTCAACTTGTAGCCGAGATGAGATTTCAAAATTTTTCTCGCTATAACAAAAATAATTTTTAGCGGCATTAAATATTAACATTAATAAAGAGTGTTAAAGTTTTTAACGGCATTAGTTAAGTGTTATTAGAACCAATATCAGTAAAGATTTTAGGAACATATACAAAGAGTGTCAATTGCCGCTAAAAATACATATTTAGCAACAATTAAGAATTAATTACCGCTAATGATATTTTTATGTAGTGCCTTTGAGGTTCTACGTTCAAGTCTCATCAATACATTTTTATTTTCCGAATCCCTAATATAGCGCATCATTAAACATTGATCAATTCAAAACAAAAAACATATATTTTTATTTTCCGAACCTCATCATCACTTCAACATTCAATTCAAAAACAAAAACACACAAACTATATATATGATGGTCAAATCCATTAGTACAAGAACATAAAAAGTCAAAAAGACTAGAAAAAATCAAATTCACTCCAAATAATTACACATACTCCAACCAGCAATGCTCTCAGCCAAAACTAACTTATCAATCATAACTCTTTCACTAAACCTATATGAAAACCTCAAAACACCTTGAGATTGAGCAGAACCTTTATGTACAGGACAAGTCATGATAGCACTACCTCCATTAGCATATGAATACTCGTACAACTCCTTCATAGACATATGAACTTCACCTATATATCGATCCCCGAGTTTCCTCTTGCAGTATAACTTAATCACTAACATGTCATTTTGATACTTGATCATCCATTCTGAGATTGTATACTTGATACTAAAGTTCCATGCTGGATTTATCTCCCCATGCTTGTCCGTTGGGGTCCGTTTTTCGGTGTTAGGGTTGCTACCTATTGAAACCCTAGCATGAACTTTCATCTTGAATAGCCTACGAACATCTTCAAGATCACTTGCTGATATTAGAGTTATTTCAAATTTTCTACACTCCATTTTTTTTTTGTATATTTTTGAGCTATTAGCTACTTGTGTGTGTACTATTATATTTAAAATATATGTGCTACTAATTAATGAGTATTATGTGGGGTATGTGGATAGACGAGACTTTGATTTTTTTAATATAATATAGGAGACTTTACTTAGAGGAAAAAACTAAGAAGGGGGGCTAGTCTTCTCTATTGTTTGGACTTTTATTTTGTTTTGTAAGTTTATATTATCCAACTTTGGGGTTTGGAATTTGGATTACTAAATAAAACAAGAGGGGAATTAAAGAGTGTTGTAGACTTGTCTTATACTTATTTGTTCATTTTTTGTTTATCGATTATGTTAAAATAGATGTTATTATTGTACTTTATTTTATTTTATTATTAATTAGTATTCATTTTTAAATGAGTGGTAATTTATACTTTCTCCTTCTATTTTTAATTGCATATTGTGTTTTTCGAAAGTAAATTTGATTAATTTTTAAAGTTAAAATGATTACATTAATTTGATTTTAAAAAAAATAGATATTCAAAAGCTACATGAAAAGTACCATAAATTTCAATTTTTTTGCATATCAATATGACGAAAAAAATACAACGTAAAATATTAATCAAAATTATTATCGTTTGACTCTAAAAAAAAATTATGACAATTAAAAGTGAACGGAGATGATAATAATTTGGATTGATATAATAAAATGATACCTTATTCTAATATCAATCTTCGTGTTCATAGACAAAACACATTTTAAATTATTTTTTTTAACCCCAAAATAACCGCCGCCGCGATAATATCTGTTACGGTCTCTGCGCTTTGGGCGAGCACTTTGGACTTTTGACATTTAATTAAATAGAACGTATATATAATGTTAATCCTTATACCTAATTATGAAGTTTACACCGTCAGCTTTTGATTTCCTTAATACGGGAAAGAAGGGCTAAATATACTTAATATAATCCATAATTGTTTTATATTAGTAAATTGTTTTGAATAAACTTTATTACCATTGATGATAAGGGATAAAAAATAGTATTAACTAGAGGCTGTCAAAGTGAAGATGAATAAACTGTTTAGTAGATTTTGATTTTTTAAATCTTATTTAATGTAAAATGAGTTGAAAGTATATTCTTGTAAGAAAGTGACAAATGATTTCAGATAATACAATTCATTATCATCTCTTCACTTTAATAAACTTATTTACTGTATTAAAAACATATATCTTTTACTTTAAAACATTAATAGATGATTTATTATTTTATACTTATGTTACCATCAGAAGTATATTCGTAACTCAACATTTAAATAACCAAATATTAGAAATGATATAGTAAAATTCTTATTTTATTTCTATTTTTTAAAAGATGTGTCGAATAAAAAAACAAATAAATATGTAGGGGAGGGAGGGAGGAAGTAGGAAAATTAATTTAAAATTGGTAGAGAAATTAATTAATACAATAGAAGATAAAAATATAGTCTAATAACTTGTTAATAGTGGCCTAGCTACATCAATAAAAAAAATATATTGTTCAATTCTCTTTTGTCAGAAAATTATATTATACTCGTTTTATTGAAAAATAAAATTAATATAACGAGATTTTTTTGTTCCTTTCGTTGCTGATGAAGGATGGTAAAATGATTTAAGAAAGAAATTCTTAGAGATGGATGAATTCTCATAAGATGCAAACTACTGTAAATAAAAAATATTATCGGAATAAGATGTTGAAATGAACATTTCAAATATTAAAATGCAACTATATATTTATTATATTTACAAGTGAATTACCTTACTATAGTCCATGAATTTAATATAAAAGTATTTTTCCACAGTTGAAAGTTGTATGTGGCACTAATTGCTTGTCACATGAGATAGGGAAATATTATTTTAGGACTACTATACTGAGTCTATTCCTAATTCATCCAAAGTCAAGTTAGTTGAATAGTAAAGGTCTTTTTTGTCAAAAAATTAATTATTATATATTGAAGGTGTAAAAGAAGTTACGCAATCAAAGTCGAAAAGAAAATATAAGGAATAATTAATATACATATTCGTTTGATGTGAAGCGTAAAGAATAATAATTTCAATTGGAATAATAAAAAAGACTATTTTAATCTGCATTTAGCTGGAGATATTAAATAGTCCTTGCATTATTTATCTCAACTTTAACAAACTAAGGACAATTAAGTTATAAGCTTGGCTAGGAAGAGTGGTAATTAAAATTGTGTAATACTAAATGATAGTAGTATATAAACCACAATTATATGTTAATTAGTTGACATATATAAGAATTGAATTTAGATTTTTAAAATACTTTTTAAATTTATTTTTATAGTTCTAAACAAGAGGCACGCAATACATAAATTGAAAATTATCAGATTTCAGGTAGCTGTTTATCTCCTATGTGATGTGTATATATAACCATTTATCCATGTGGCACGATCTCGTCCCTTCAGCTTTATTTAAATGAAATGAATCTCGATCCTTCAATCTTTAAAATTCATTGTTAATGACTTATACTCTTACCCTAGTTCGAATATTGACAACAACATTTTATAAGCTAGGATTGAGATCATAACATATTCTATAAAATCTAGTTCAGTTCATGTCTATATTGTTCCTAATCTTGGACAACTACTACACATGGCATTGATTTTTAGAAGATCAATTCTAATTCTTCAATTGCACCTTTCATGGCATAAACCTACACAATATCAAATTCATTAATTAGACTAGAGTTAGCCCTAAAAATCACATGAATTCATCATAATATCATAATTAAATGCTAGATCATTCATAATTAAGTATTATCTATGAGATTGGAATCATACTTAAACACTACCCATAATGTACGTAGAAACTCTAGCAGGAAGTGAATTTTGACTTTCCAATTGAGAAAAAAATGGGTGGAAGAATCCATAGATGAAAAAGCTAACATACCTTAATTCAAAGCCCTCACCAAGCTTGAAACAATGGAGGAAATCTGCCCTCCTCCTCCTAGACATAGAATTATTTGGGAAAATGTTAATTATGATTTTGGGTTGGGGATTTATGAAGTGTAAATGGTTAGTTAATAGCTTAATAACCCTTGTATAGGTCTATTAAATCAATATAAACTGACATACAATAAGTTCGGAAACCTTTTACACTTCTAAATCACACATCAAACTCAAAAAAACTATTACGTAATAAGGCTCTAGTTTCACCTACTAATTTTCTGGGTGTTACAAAAACACTTTAGCAATGCATAAACTTTGCATTACATGCAAATGATGAATACAAAGTTTACTGATCAATTGGACAAGATAAATAGAGAGATAGGAAAACACAGTACATACACTCGGAAGAACATTTGATTATTACATATATTATTTGAATACCTATTGAACCCAATATGATACTATTTCACCATGTAATGTGTATAAAGAAGAACTTACTCAAATATCACGAACATAAAAGAATATACGGAATCAAATTTTACTTACTGATAATTACATGGGAAAATGCACAGGTATCCCTCCAATTTATGCCCGAAATCACACGCACACGGTGTTTTCAAAAACGTTTTTGGGGCGAGTCTTAGGGTGGAGCGTACCAAAAATGCTTTAGGACATAAATTAAAAAATGTAGATCCATAAGGTGTAAGTGCTAAAATTTGAGGCGTAAGTCATGGGCGTAAAGACGTATGCCCTGACGTTTTTAATATTTTTTACTTTAAATCATATTTTTATTATTAGTGTAATGATATTTCTCAAATAATAATGATAATTCTTTTTTCTTCGTTATTGAATATTAATACTTATCTCACATACAAATCATAATTCATTAAAAAATTTACTTTTACTTATTTTATTAGTAATAAGAATATAGAATTGAATATACATGTGACTATGCCTCGTAGATGCATGAGACTTATGCCTGTGTCTCAAGGTTTACGCCTCGCCTCATACTATATAAAATATCTCGCTTTACGCTCTCACTTTTTATAACACGGTATAAAATAGTTTTTTTACATGTCTAAAGGCCATCTCATGTGGCCAGTACGTAAAAGAAGCAATACGTACTCAAATCATATTGAGTTGAGAATTTCAATATACAAAAATGTGGCCACATGTTCCCAATCTTTATATTTATTAATAATAGACAAGTCTAAACTTAATGGAAATATACTATTTGCCATATAACCTCGACTTTCATTTAATTCATTTGAACCTACAAATACATATTAAACTAAAGGGCATGTGCTTATACATCATAAATAACTCATATGATGATTACAAAGTTTACGCATCAATTGAAAAATAAATATAGAAAAAAGAAAATATAGTACTCAGAGAAATTATCCCTGCGCGAAGTGCAAACTCTTTATCTAGTAATTTGCGTGCTTTTTACCTAGTAATATATGTAAAACAAAAGGTAGAGCCGAATTTTCTATATCGTAGAATCAGAATATTTGTTCACTTTTTTCAGGCTTTTAAAATTTATTTATCCATTCACGAATAATTCTTTATTTATTAGAAAATTTAATAACTCAGGTTGATTTTCATTTGTTTCCCCCAAAAATAGCAAATAGTAACACTTCTTGGAAGTAAAAAGATAAATTATAAAATCAAATTAAAGATGATTGATTGAAGGATAAATGATAAAATGTTATAGTTATCGTTTTTCTTATACTATTACGTTACTACATAATCTTATATGTAAAATAATATAGTATTTTAATTTTAATAACCGATAAATTATAAATATTATTTTATAAAAAACATTATCTCCTAGTAATTTCAATTATCAGGTAACTATTTTGAGTAGATAATATGAACATAAAGTTTGAATTATTTTTCTCCGTAGATCACCATTTGAATTTTGAAAGCACTCAGGGACCATCATGAGAAAGGATAAAATAAAATAGGGTGCAAAGTGCAAAATGAGATACAGTAAAGGGGCAAAGTGCAAAGGATGCAGCCCCATTTGAGGAGCGCCAAGACGCCATTTTTGAACTTTAGAGAAGCTGTAAACTCTCTCTTTTTTCAAATTGGTGTTAATGGATCCACAGATTCATCACCATTTTCATAAACTAAACACCATATAGAAGATCTCATCACTCTCTCTGATTCTCTGATTCTCTGTTTCTATATATTTGGGTATATGATACTTTTATTAGTCAATTGTTTAGTAGTACTATGTAGTGAACATATTGGAGAGAAATGCAAGTTGCAATTGATCAATGGAAGGTGAGAAGGCGAACCTTCTAGGACCAGAAGCAGCAGCAGCGTCCAAGCCCATTTCCATTCTTCCAATCGATCCATCAGAATCCGCTAATGTCAGCCGT